TCACATTGTTCCATTGTGTTATATAAAACATTGCTGTTTCATTTGGCAAAATGTTTGTCCCTTAATTTTGTCACTTTGTTACACGTACTAGCCAATCTTGACAAAAATGTTGAATTCCAATATAGCTCATTTTACTGTGTATGCCACTGTAATCCATATACCTTTTTTCCCCTTAAAAACACAGTAAATTAATAACAAATTTTCATTCCTCCATTTATCTATAGCATTTTATATGGAAAAAGCTCAATCAAATGAATAAAAGCAAATGAAAATAAAATACAACGTATACACAACACAAATATCCAATGGAAATATAACATTTAAAATATCTGGCAGTTCAACCTGTTTTCATGGAATGCTGTTGTTGAGTGTATGCTGTTGAGTGACATATCGTGTACATTTTTCCATTCGTTTTCCTGTTACCGTGCAAGTACACCAGCATTTGCAGGTGATGTAAACACCGCAAAGTAGTAGCACTGCTGCCAATGTTCCCTCGAATTTTACATGCGTCTGAGCATTCACATAAATTCCCTGAGCAATCGTTGGACCACTGTGAACAACAGACGTGCACACAGCGGTCAAACAAGTTTCATACTCGTCCAAAACCGGAGATCATGAGTTACTCAATAACCACCTATTGTCAAAATAGAAGATTTTGTTAGAGATTTGTACCACAAACAAAGTAAGCCCAAGTTTGTAAGAATCAGTTCAGGACTCAGGCTTTTCTACCACTTTTTATGTCGTGAAGTGGCCCAAATTGACTTGTCCAGAAATCAATGCAAGTAGCTATGAATTTGTAATAATATGGGCTGAAATAACTCCTTGAGTAATTTGGGTACCTTGGTACTTCGAGTACCCACTTATTTATGTGTACACTGTCAGAAAGAAGTAGTCAAGCCAACCGAACAACAATAGATCATGCAATACGTGACAGTAACACACCGCCAATGCGTTAAATAGGCCAACTTCAAAAATGAACCTTAACTTACCAAATAATACCATATATGGACAGCAATGCCGTGGTATGCTTTTATTTTGAAGTTGTTTTGGCAGTGTGTCACGGCGTAACGGCTAACTTTAAACTTCTTTCCGACTTTGCGCTGTCACAAAATGATCCTACTGATGTCAAATACACAAATATTCAAGAGTTGGATGTCAAATACACAAATATTCAAGAGTTGCAGCCCTTGTGATAATCACAATTTCCAATCAATTATGGCTTCGATATTGGCTATTTTGGTTTGCGCGTCGACCTCACAGTGCAGAGGTTCAATTCCACCACTTTTCATCAACAGTATAAAATTTTTAAAAAATGTAAAAAAAAAAAAAAAAATGTATTCTTTCAAAATGGCTTACAGTACTTAAACTACAGTCCCGTGTAGGCTTGTGCCCAAAGGTAGAACCCTGTTTGGTTATTGCTACTTTTGGTGCTGTAAATCCTTGTTGTGTTAGCAAGCCACATGCTCAAACGAGCATTACATTTTTTTGCTTTGACTGCTCCACCGTCTTCTGCTTCCATTTCTTAATCTACATCAGTGGTTATTTACCTTGTTAGCGGTACCGAACCCAACCAGTTCATATGCACATTCACCGAACCCTTCATTCGTGAAAAATAAAAATATGGTAGTCAGGAGGATTCAAGAAGTGTTCCTTCAGTTTTGAGTTGTTCAACTTGGCATGACAAATCATGCAGATAGGACACTGACTCCCATCACTTTCCGTGATGCATGTGAATCCATGTTGCAAATATTCGTCCAACCGTTTTTTATTTTTTATTTTTTGCTCGACGTCGTTAGCTTGTATTAAAAAAATTATTTAAAAAAAAAATCACACGACATATTATCACGACAGTCACTCATTGACGACGTAATGTGGTCATCTGCCGCGGGCGTGTCATAACTAATTGACATGTTGAGTCAGGTGTGTCTTAACCTCCGAGGTAAAGGCTCCATCGAACCCCTGAGACGGATTCACCAAACCCCCGAGGTTCGATCAAACCCAGGTTGAGAACCACTGCTCTACATTATTTTGGTGGTTCACAAATACTTTTGGTGCGGCCACCGGTTGAATGCATGACTACTTCTTCATCTCCTCCTTCCATTTCTTGTTCTTCCATTTGTCCTACTTTCTGACTTACTTTCAAATACTTTTGGTACATTACTGCCACCTTCTGGACACCTGAGTTAATGCATCAAAAGTATTTACCAAACGCCAAAAGAAGTTCAAAACGATTACGGTATGAGGATTTTGGGTACCACTACGAGCTCAAATTTTAATAAATCATTGGCTGGCCAAAACCTCCGAAGTCACAATTTGCCAAATTTCATAATTATTTCAATTTGTCTAAGACCCATGTCTTATAAGATACCAGGAAAGTCACACCTTGGTATAGATTGCAGGACCAACCAAACTATGAAAACATTAACAACTTAAAATCTACAGTCTGAAAATTACAGGAGGGCGGCCCGGTGATTGACTGGTTAGCGCGTCTGCCTCAGTGTAGAGGTGTAGGGTTCGAACCCAGCTGTGGCCTTCCTTTGTGGACTTTGAACGTTCTCCCCGTGCCTGCATGGGTTTTCCCTGGGTACTCTGGTTTCCTCCCACATTCCAAAAACATGCATGGCAGGCTGATAAAACACTCAAAATTGTCCCTAGGTGTGAGTGTGAGTGCAGATGGTTTTTCGTCTCAGTGTGCCCTGCGATTGGCCGGCAACCAGTTCAGGGTGTACCCTGCCTACTGCCCGAAGACAGCTGGGATAGGCTCCAGTATGCCCCACGACCGTTATGAGGATAAAGCCGATCAGAAAATGGATGAAAATGGAAAATTACGGGACTCAAATTCAAGTGACTTGACTCCGAATTGGTGCAGAACTAAGCAAGGTCTGGATGCTTTGACTTGACGTACTGAATGCAAGTACTGACTTCACTTGATTTGCTGAAAATTTATGTTGTACAGTTCTCTACTTGCTAATTTTTGCCACAGTAACTTGAGACTTGCTTATGACTTGCATATATGTGCCTTATTCTCACCTCTGGATATTGCTAAAAACTGTGTGTACTTTCACAAAGCGGCATGGTATTCTGGATAATTAGATTTGTGATGTATTTAGGTGTATGGTCTCAATGCAACAGGACAAATAAGTCTTCAAAAAAAAATACAGAATCACAACAAGGAAAAAAACGACAAGTTTCATTTTTCTAATGCTCTAGTCTATTGCTGTCTTGATACAAATGTCAAGCCAGGCTGAAATCCTGACTTGTGCTTCCTCAGATCCAAAAAAGCAGGAAATGATCAATTAAAACAAGTTCTCGTCTGCAAGAGATGCTGGCAAGGATCCATGAGGCATCAAGCCCATCTTGGAAGGAATTCCTGTTGGATGTTTGCACGGAGCGGCAGCAGAAATTGTCAAGCAAGTTGATAATAGAAAGGGATGGGAGAGAAGGTTCACCGCTGGGGAAGAAAACTCAAATGAAAACAAACATGAGGCCCCTGTAAGGCCCCCTTACTCACGCGACGTCTGAATGAAGGGGAGGGAAAAAAACAATAGAGAGACTCTTGGTGGGTTTTCCAGATATGGAATAGGAGCAGCCAGTCTGTGCTGTTTTTTGCGCTGGATTTGTTAGAACTGAACTATGAAGGGGATATTCTTCTTCTTGTCTCTGATGACATCATACTGTTGCCAGTGGTTGGATTGAAGGACTGCAATGCATGTTTATTTGGGGAGGTGGGTGTCTCCTACCCTCGAAAATGAGTTGGCGTGACTGGACTGGATGGTCCATTTGGGATCGGCCACTTCCTGTGATGTTCCCGTATGTACCATCCACATCAGGGAAGTTCTCTCACAAGTGATTGCTTACTAAAGGACTGTAAAAGCTCCGCACAGAGACAGGAAAGAGAGATTGTTTTACTTTTTTTTTTTCTGTACGTGAGTCATTTCAACTAGACACCAGCGAGACGTCTCGATCCAGCCTCATGGTGCCGCAAGACAAACATAAGTCAAAAAACTAAATGTGTTTTATTGACTCCCTACACTACCCTACTCTGTCTGCAACTAAGAGAGAATACAACCTATGACCCATATGTGATTTGCATACATGTGAAACTATGAACGAGGGAGTCGCTCAGTAACGCCCAGATCTCCTCCAAAGAGGCGCAATGTCAAATACGGTATATCTGTCTGACTAGTTTGAATAAAAACGACGACGTAGTGTTCTACTACACTTCTTTGTGTGGCAGTAATGTGCATGATAAAATCAGTCCTACGTGTCAAACCTTTTTTCACCACAGCTTTATCCCCTGTATGTGGTAGATTACTGCCCCCGTGTGGTCCAACAAGTAGACTGTAACAAAAACAAGAGACTGCACCAATTGGCACTTCATTGTGCCATTAGCCCCACTTTTGGATGTAGTTGTGTTGAAATCATGTATTTTGAACAATTGTTTTTTTAAAAATACAAAGCATTGTGCTTGGAAGAGGAACATAACAAATGTTTTAAGTAAGCTACAATAGTCTTTTGAAATGCAGCCTCATGGGAAGTGTCTCAAGTGCACTGATAAGCAGCTCCGCCCATAACAGTGATGTGCTTACACAATAGTGGCACAAGATGCCAAAGTAAATATGCGGGAACCTGACTGGTCGCTGAGCTCAATGTGCAAGAGGGAAAAAAATTGCAGTATGTGCACTCAAACAAGGTTTGGAGTTACAACTAGCTCATAATCAGTTTAACGAAGGTTGGATTTGGTTTGTGGCCTTGGAAAACAAGCCAGTGGTCCACTATTACCTCTTTGAAGACGTCTGGTTAAAGTGGGGATTACAAAACGAGATTTTGTGTCAAACAAGCCAAGGCACATTTTTTTTTTTTTGCTCTCCTGCCACTAAAGTGGATAATCACACCAGCTGCATAAGCAATCAAATATCTTCTTCAAACTCAGCAAGTGCTTTGAATACGAGCGCCACCACGTATCCCACGTGTAATGTTTAACCTTCTCACTCTTGTAGCCACGATAAAGAACAACACAAGCAGTGGATTTCCTGGAGCCAACAACGCGTCCAATGGGAACAACTTGGTGACCCAAGGCTTCTCTGAGGGAGACCTCCTACTCCAGGTAATAGACAAAGCCAAGTCCAATTCTGCCATGTCAACAATGTCCTATTTTACAATGTATTTCTGTGTAGCACTATAGCAGCCACATTTTAGGTACACCTCAACAACGTGGTAAGCTCCAATACAAGTGTTGTATCAAACATTCTGTCTGTATGAATAAGATATTAGTTTTATTTGTCCGTTTCCTTCTTGAGAAATAGTAGACCACAATCATAATAATACAAGAAGGTAGTGTTCAATGTTTCCTTTTTTTAACTGTCTGTCAAAACCGAGCATTATCATTGTAAAGGCAGAACTATTTCGATGAATCAGGAAATGGCTGTAAAATTGTAACTTAAGTGTGACTGTGCAGGCGCTGAATGGCTTTGTGCTGGTCGTCACATCTGAGGGGTACGTGTTCTATACCTCGCCCACCATCAAAGAGTACCTAGGCTTCCAGCAGGTGAATGTTTGTCTTGATTTGTTTTTTTTTTTTGTTTTTTTTACATACTACGGAGTTAAGTGGACTGTTCAATGACAATGTCTTTCCCCGTACAGTCGGACGTGGTCCACCAGAGCGTGTTTGAGCTCATCCACACAGATGACCGTGCCACGTTCAGGCAAAACCTCCACTTTGCGCTAAACCCACCTGACACAGGTGGACAAGGTACGTGGCCTTGGATCACGCAAAGTTGTCAGGTACAGGATTTTGCACAACAGAGCAAATATCTGACACAATTTTGTGTGGAGGTTTTTAGGAAAATGTTTGGGGTCTATTCTTTTTTTTTCGATAAAATCAAGGATAATTCATAAGAGTTTCAAAAGTCTGACCTCCAGAAATATTTCATGGTGGGATGGACCAAAAAAAATCACACAGCGGTTGGGCTGGATGTGTTTGTCGGCAATCTTTTTATGGCAGGAGGAGCAGAAGGTGGCCAGCTTTTCTTTGTAGTCCGCCAGAAGTCCGTTCCTGGATGGATAATTGGTGCCATTTCATAAAACAAAAACACCAAGACGGACCTCCTTGAAAATGTTCGACTTTCATTTCTACTGCAAGTGTTTTTACCCTCAGTCGAAAGGTGACTGTAGAGACCCTTCTCCCAGCTGTTCTTTGACCATGAATCCATTGCTGGAGTTGGTCTTCCAACTCGGGCCACCTTGCCTTGTTTCCATCGTCTTCTTGACTTGGCGAAGCTCGTTCTCCTGCTTCCTCCACTTGCAAATCATGGATTCGTTTATCTTAAATTCTGTCACAGCTGTTCGATTGGCATGTTCCTCTGTAGAACTGATCACTTGAAATTGCTTCAAAGGCGGGTCTCTTTAGAGGTGCCATTTTCTGGGGTCCGAAGTTGTTTTGCCCAATGCACGTACCGGTATTATATCCACCTACTGTTGAGCGTGCCTTGAGTGTCCTCTTTCATGCCCACCCTTCCCCTTCAACGTTCACACGCCGTCCTCAGTTACATCCGCCTTTCCTCAATATAAACAGCGTGTCTGCATAACATCAGATAGTCAAGCTCATCGAAGTCACACAGCAACATTCACAGATTTTGGAACTCGGTGCAGGGATTAGGCGCCCCGCATAATTAGGCATTTTTTGAGAAAATTTAAGACTTTTGAGTGTGCCCTATAGTCGTGAAAATACGGTAATGTGGAAACAGATAAATACCAGATACAACACATTATTTTCAGAAATATTTGCCAGGCTTTACATTTTCAAATGATCACTTCAGCAGGATTCCAGGAAAATAATCTTCCATCACTGGTGAGCTAGTTTTAGAGCAGGCCCGCATGCTACTCATGTGGTCCTTGGGGTCAACCTGGGCCCCGCAGTGACCACGTTGGTGACCCCTGATGTAATTTGTTCCAATCTCAGTTTTTGATAGGTGTCAGATCCTGTTTTGGCGCCATGTGTATGTCTGATGTTGCTCACCGTGATCCAAATGAATGCTCAGATAGTTTGTGTGAATGCTCAGACGCATGGAAAATTAGAGGTTGTAACATTGACGGGAAATGAATATCGCACTTTTGTCATCGTACTTTTGCACGCTGAAAGTTAGGTCAGGCCAGCCCCAATTGGAAGTCAAGTCATCCGCCGCAATGTTCAACAAACAATCTGATGAGAGACCCTTCTCCCAGCTGTTCTTTGACCATGAATCCATTGCTGGAGTTGGTCTTCCAACTCGGGCCACCTTGCCTTGTTTCCATCGTCTTCTTGACTTGGCGAAGCTCGTTCTCCTGCTTCCTCCACTTGCAAATCATGGATTCGTTTATCTTAAATTCTGTCACAGCTGTTCGATTGGCATGTTCCTCTGTAGAACTGATCACTTGAAATTGCTTCAAAGGCGGGTCTCTTTAGAGGTGCCATTTTCTGGGGTCCGAAGTTGTTTTGCCCAATGCACGTACCGGTATTATATCCACCTACTGTTGAGCGTGCCTTGAGTGTCCTCTTTCATGCCCACCCTTCCCCTTCAACGTTCACACGCCGTCCTCAGTTACATCCGCCTTTCCTCAATATAAACAGCGTGTCTGCATAACATCAGATAGTCAAGCTCATCGAAGTCACACAGCAACATTCACAGATTTTGGAACTCGGTGCAGGGATTAGGCGCCCCGCATAATTAGGCATTTTTTGAGAAAATTTAAGACTTTTGAGTGTGCCCTATAGTCGTGAAAATACGGTAATGTGGAAACAGATAAATACCAGATACAACACATTATTTTCAGAAATATTTGCCAGGCTTTACATTTTCAAATGATCACTTCAGCAGGATTCCAGGAAAATAATCTTCCATCACTGGTGAGCTAGTTTTAGAGCAGGCCCGCATGCTACTCATGTGGTCCTTGGGGTCAACCTGGGCCCCGCAGTGACCACGTTGGTGACCCCTGATGTAATTTGTTCCAATCTCAGTTTTTGATAGGTGTCAGATCCTGTTTTGGCGCCATGTGTATGTCTGATGTTGCTCACCGTGATCCAAATGAATGCTCAGATAGTTTGTGTGAATGCTCAGACGCATGGAAAATTAGAGGTTGTAACATTGACGGGAAATGAATATCGCACTTTTGTCATCGTACTTTTGCACGCTGAAAGTTAGGTCAGGCCAGCCCCAATTGGAAGTCAAGTCATCCGCCGCAATGTTCAACAAACAATCTGATGGCTGAAATAGCTGGGGAAAAAAACATATATATATATATATATATATATATATATATAGGCAAGGCAGCTTTATTTATATAGCATATTTCAGCCACAGAGCAACTAATGTGCTTTAAAAAAAAACACAACACCAAAACGCATTTATCAGCAGAACAGTAAACAACAACAATCAGAAGCAAAGCAGGAAAAAACAAAAGTAGCTTTATTTATTTATTTTTTATTATTATTATCCCCCCCCAACCCAGCCGGTGCCGGTCCCAAGCCCGGAGAGATGGGGAGGGTTGCGTCAGGAATGGCATCCGGCGTAAAACTTTTGCCAAGACGACCATGCGAGTTGATGGGACGGTTTACGGGGACAGATGGAAATTAATGACTCGCTGTGGCGACCCCTGGACTGGGACGAGCCGAAAGGAGAAGAAGAAGATTATTATTTTTCCCCCCCAGAGTTTCTTTTTTATATTTAATAGTTTTGATGTCATTTTGCCATTTTAAAAAGTACTGGGTAGCTTTACTGAAACTACATTTAAACACCTTAACATACAACTTGAAAAACATTTTGACTTGGAAAACAACCGCAAAATGATCGGATGTTCAATTGAATTATCCATCCATGCATCCATTTTCTGATCTGCTTATTTAAATTTTGCAATACTGAGTTAAAAAAAAACGCAATTAGACTATTTTCCAAATTTGTTCAGCCCTACCGTAAAGGGGGGGACAGCTCCATGTTTTCTTAATCTTTCACCTCCAATGTAGATGTACTGTTTTGGAATGTAGTCCGATGGTCCTGGGCTGGAATTGCAGTTTCCAGTTGTGTTAAAAAATTGTTTACACATTAAAGGCTTGGAATTTCTAAAGCACAACTTTTCTAGTTTTTTTTCTACAGCTTCATATTTCTTTAACTTCATTTTCTGTAAGGAATAAAAGATTTGATAATTTTTCCATGTACGGACTGAACAGGTCCTGTACAATTAGAATTTTGAGTCTCACTCATTATTTTAATCACCCTACAGTATTTTTTATTTTCATTTTAAATGTACATGACTGATGCGGTCTTCCCGTCTTGTCAGGCTTGGAGGAGTGCAGGAACACAGAGTTCTACAGTCCTGATCAACTTCCTCCGGAAAACTCATCCTTCCTGGAGAGAGGTTTTGTGTGTCGCTTCCGTTGCCTCCTGGACAACTCGTCTGGCTTTTTAGTGAGAAATGCCATCACCTGCAAATGCCCGAAAGAGTCGCTTGATGTAAATTGTGCGGTTTGGTTCTGTCGCGTTTGTACCAGGCTCTCAAGTTCCAGGGACGACTCAAGTACCTGCATGGCCAAAACATCTTCAGGGACAATGGGTCACACATGAAACCGCAGCTCGCGCTCTTTGCCATCGCCACGCCCGTTCAGTCTCCATCCATTGTAGAGATACGCTCCAAAATGTTGCTCTTTCAGACCAAGCACAAGCTGGATTTCACACCGATGGGCGTTGACAACAGGTGACACACAACACTCCACTCACCCAACGTTGTTTGTTTTTACATTTTTTTTGTTTTTTTGTTCTCTGCAGGGGGAAGATTATTTTGGGCTATTCAGAGACAGAGCTGTGCATGAAAGGTTCCGGCTACCAGTTTATCCACGCCGCTGACATGATGTACTGTGCCGACAACCACATGCGCAGTATGTGAGACAATTTTGATACTTTTAGAGATGAAAGTCCTCCGGATTTTCCCGGAATTCCGGATTTTCAAATTTTCATGAAATTTCCTCTGGAAAATTGAGGAAAAATTGCCAAAAATTAATATTAGTTGACAACATTGAATGAACACGCGTTTGAGTTCGCTGTTTTGCTTTCACGAGCGTAGCCATGTTGAGGCACGAATACTAGTCACAGTAACACCCATCCCCTTGCATTCTCATGGTCTCGCCATATCTCGGAGATTTCAAAATTTAGGTGAGAACGGAAGCCACAAAGGGTGCATGTGTGCACACAAAAGGCAGATTAATCATTGAATGTCCAGTATTTGAATAGCATTTTGTGTAAACCAATTAATTCAACCAGGTACGGCCCCAGCGCAATGTTCAAACAGGTAGACAGGCAAGCTGACATACGTGCAATAGACATGAGTGTTAGGAACACGTTCAAGTGCTCATGGCTTGAGGAAAAGGACTTGAACGGAGATTTTTTGTCCGACCACATTAGAAAAGTCGACAAACCCGGCAAGTCAGTTAAAATATGTATATATATCGCATTTGTATTTTCAGGAAAGTCCACTTTCATCTCTACACTTGGCAATATGGAGTTAAGCGTCATCAACTGCTGCTACTGCTAACTGTAGAGCACGGTGTGTGTGTGTGTGTGTGTGTGTGTGTGTGTGTGTGTGTGTGTGTGTGTGTGTGTGTGTGTGTGTGTGTGTGTGTGTGTGTGTGTGTGTGTGTGTGTGTGTGTGTGTGTTTGTCTGTGTGTGCATTTCACAGTGATTAAAACTGGAGAAAGCGGCCTGACGACTTTCCGTCTCTTGAGTAAGTCAGGAAGCTGGGTTTGGGTCAAAGCCAACGCCAAGCTGATCTACAAAGGAGGAAGACCCGACTTCATCATCGCCTACCAGCGAGCTATAGTGTGAGTGTTGCTGTCCTAATGCGACACTGACAGGAAGTCAGTGTCGCCAAACATAGCGACTTTGACACTATATGTTGTGAGTATTCAGATCCTCTCGAGCGACTTTTTTTCCCAAAAAGTGACTAGTAACAATCTAGCGACTTTGTCAGGTGTTATTGGAGACTTTTGGAGTCTTTGTGGTGAAAGCACATTGTTCTCAATGAGCAGCGCCGGGAGCTGTTGTGGCCCCACCCCCAAATAAAGCCGCTGCTGGCTGATCGCGCCAGTTTTACAATCTGGGCTTGATGTAAATGAGAATTTTTTCTTTGTCTGAAATAAATTAAAAAAACATCAACAAATAAAAATTACAAAAGACAAAAACATCACAACAAAGTAAATCACACGCACTGATGACATCATTGAGCAATATTTCGGACAGCCAATAGCTACTTTCCTTACCGATGAGTTGGAAACGCTGCTGGAAGTTAACCGCTGTTAACAGTAGCGAGCAGCTAGCGATTACAGCGGCTCTTTGGCAATGCGGCTCCCGGGGTTTCACACGACAAGCGTTGAAAATGCCTTGTCGGTTGGAGTGCCATTCAAACAACTACATCAACAAATAAAAATTACAAAAGAAAAAAACATTGATCCAAGTAAATCACACGCACTGATGACATCATTGAGCAATATTTCGGACAGCCAATAGCTACTTTCCTTACCGATGAGTTGGAAACGCTGCTGGAAGTTAACCGCTGTTAACAGTAGCGAGCAGCTAGCGATTACAGCGGCTCTTTGGCAATGCGGCTCCCGGGGTTTCACACGACAAGCGTTGAAAATGCCTTGTCGGTTGGAGTGCCATTCAAACAACTGCGCTAAATACACAGGACGTACTACGTCAGCCTATCATCAATCCCGTTACTTGATTGACACGGAGGGCAACCAATCAGATGACTGAATCACGACTCATGCACAAACAATGGAGCTAAACGCTAAGCTACTCAGCGAATTACCTCTGATGTCAAGGCAGGGGTGCCCAATACATCGTACGTCACCCCTGGCTGAGAGGAAACGACCCAAGAACTACAATTTGCCACCAATGAAGTACCAATGAAGAGCTACTCACCATTTTGCCATTAAAAGTATACACCAGGGGTGAGAATATTTTTAATGCTTTCATGGGATTTGTTCGCAGGACAAAACAGTGGCTTTTAGATTAATCTTTCCTCACTGATCTCACTGGCCAGCTCAGTGAATTGAATTTAGAGCTGCAGGGTCAGGGTAAAGATGTAGTCAAAATGATGAGTTCAGTGAGCACATTTAAAAGCAAGCTAAAGCTGATGTACCACCGGCTGCGGCTTGGTAACCTGTGCAACTTCCTTACATGCAAGCAGAAATACAACGTCAAGGGAAAGGTGTGACACAGCTTGACAGTGCATGTTATGAGGAGCATGTTCAGAGCATCTCGTGAGAGCTTGAGAGGCGTTTTACTGACTTTGCATCCATCGAGCCTGTAGTTAGCTATATGTGTTATCCAGTTGGTGCAAATATTGACGTTGGTGACATTGCCGCCAAAGTCAAATCACTTTTCGACTTTGAAAGCCCCACTCTTGAGGATGAGATTCTGAGATTGCAAAATGACATTGGGATCAAAGCCAGGCGACTGAGGTAGGAAGTGATTTCCTTTTTTCAAATAGAGATCTACCTGTTTCGTAGCTGTTTTTTTCAGTTTGGTTCATTTTTGGTTCTATGTATTAAAGCCAAATGGCTTGGCCCTGGGACTTTTAGTGTTTTAATGTGTGTGTGTGGTGGTGGGGGGGGGGGGGGTCAGATGTTGACACTGGACCGGTAGATCTCCGGAGGTTGGCTCCTTGAAAAGTCGCCCTTCGGACATAAAATAATAATAATAATAATAATAATACATTACATTTATAAGCGCCTTTCAAAACACTCAAGGACACTTTAC